GCCCGCCGCGGCCGGTGCGGGCCGTCGGCTGCAGGTAGCCCCCGTCTTCACGTCCTCGTCTCCTGCCTGCCCTTGTCCCCTGACGGCTGGGCCCTTCTCTTCTGGCGAGCTCTGAAGAAGCTGGGAAGCGATTTTAAGGCTTTTTCTGGTTCTTAGGATTGTAGAAGGCCTCCCGTGTCCCTGGTTCTTTCTTCACACGCATCCTCCGGTTTTGTGTGTCTGTGTGTGTGTGTGTACAACCGAGGGATTTAATTCTTGAGCATGAACTAGGGTGAATCCTCCAGTTCTTTGGCCTTCACCAAAATAGGAATAAATGACAGTTCTTAACAGTCTTAAGATTTAGACTGTCCCAGCAGCTTTTGCTTGGAAGCTTGCTACTACCACTGATTTAGTGTGGTTAACAGAGGCTTAAGCTCTGGGCACAACTGCCATCAGGTATTCAGGCTTAACACCTCTTTGTTTTATAGTAGAAGCAGTCTTAAGCCCAGCTGTAGTGCAGGCCCGTCAAGGCATACAGTCAAAATACGTATTTTTATTTGCAGGTACAACATGCAAGTAAACAAATTGCTGCTGATAAGCAGTACAAGGGTATCATCGATTGTGTAGTGCGTATTCCAAAGGAACAAGGAGTGCTGTCTTTCTGGAGAGGAAACTTGGCAAATGTCATCAGATACTTCCCAACTCAAGCTCTCAACTTTGCCTTCAAGGATAAGTATAAGCAGGTGTTCTTGGGAGGTGTAGACAAGCACACTCAATTCTGGAGGTATTTTGCTGGTAACCTGGCTTCTGGTGGTGCAGCTGGAGCCACTTCCCTCTGCTTTGTCTACCCCTTGGATTTTGCAAGAACCCGTTTGGCTGCTGATGTTGGAAAAGCTGGTGCAGACAGAGAATTCTCTGGTCTAGGGGACTGTCTAGTCAAAATTACCAAGTCTGATGGTCTGCGTGGCTTGTATCAAGGGTTCAATGTCTCTGTCCAAGGCATCATCATCTATAGAGCTGCCTACTTTGGGATCTATGATACAGCAAAAGGTAACATTTCAGAGGGGATCTGATAAACCTATTTTCAGGAATGTATTGTCTGGTTTATGTCTGTTCTTGGATCTTGCTCTGTGTCTGTCTGTAGTAGCCATGTAAGCATGGAGGGGGATATCGGTGCCAACATCAGTGACACTGCAGTGTTCAAGGCAGAACTGGGGCATGCGTTGAAGGCAGCAGGGTGCTTTGAAGTACTCCTGATTTTGTACTTAAAGGAGTTTCTCTAATGCCAGCAAAGCATGTTGGTAACCATACACGATTGTAATAAGTTCTTTTTCGTTCAGTGCGTTACTGTAGTTATATTGGACCAATTCAGGTGTGTTTAGCCGAGTGGGATTGAGCGGTGCTTTTACAAAGCACTTGTTAAGATTGACATTTGGGCATAGAGTGCAGGGTAATTCACAGGAACAGTGACTTAGTTCAGTGACATTTATTTCTAAAAAGAGTAGGTAATAGTTAGATTTCTTCTTGTGCCAGTCTGAAAAGAATCCTGGTGCTTCAGTGTTATCTGTTTTGATTACCCAGGAGGAAATCCTCTGAATGTCCTTTAGTGTTTTTTATATTGCTTCAGCAAGTTTAAAGTTTGAGTGTCTTGTTGCAGTCTCAAAGTATGGCTTTACAATGTTTCATAATAGTTTGTCTAGTAAAGTAGCTGTCATCCATTGAGTGAACTGGAAGAGGATGTACCAGATAAAAAGCTAATTACTTTTTTTTATTGCAGGCATGCTCCCAGATCCCAGAAATACTCATATTGTTATCAGTTGGATGATTGCCCAGACGGTGACTGCTGTGGCTGGTGTGGTCTCCTATCCTTTTGATACAGTGCGGCGTAGAATGATGATGCAGTCAGGGCGCAAAGGAGGTAGGCTGTTAATTTGTGTAGTTCTTCAAGCAGCATTAACAAGATGGGGTTCTTTTTTCCTAATAGTCATCCCTCAGCACTTACAGTTCCTTGTTCCATAAATCTGGTATAAGTTAGGTTACATTTAAATGATACGAGGAAATGCAGTAGGGCTCAACTTGTGGTGTTTGTCCAGAATTATGCTGAGGACTTTATAGAATATGAAATGGGCAAACGGACTGCCTGTTTGCAATGACAGATTAAATGAAGGCAATTAGGGGACAGTATAATTGCCAAAAAGAAGGCTTAACATTTTTTTTTTTTGTGACTTAGGTTTTAGTAACTAGGCAAGCAGATAGGAAACTTTTCTACTACCTGAACTTGAACTAAGTATTGTGTTACAGTCTTAATGTGGTTTGGGACATCACAAAGTAGCTAGAGAAGTGAAACAGGGCAGTTGTTAAAAACATCTTAGATACAATTATAGGAGTTAAAAATGACTCTGCTCTTTTTCTACAGCTGATATCATGTACTCTGGAACAATTGACTGCTGGCGGAAGATTGCAAGGGATGAGGGAGGAAAGGCGTTCTTCAAGGGTGCATGGTCTAATGTTCTCAGAGGCATGGGGGGTGCTTTTGTGCTTGTGCTGTATGACGAATTCAAGAAAGTCATTTAAACAGCCTAACTAGAATTGGAAATCAAGTTGAGCAGATCATGTAGAATAACTACCATTATGGACCATTGACCTTCAAGAAATTCCTGTGAGTCTTATTTATCGGAGCCAGATGATATTTGTAGATGGGGCTAGAAACTGACATAGAGGACTGATCCATTTCTCAGTAACATGCATGAAGACACTGGATCTGGCAATTCAGTGTGGTGATTTTATTATTTTTTTTTCAGCAATGTGGAGTGAGTGGTATTGGTTCTGGGTCCAAAGTGGCTGGGTCCAATTTAGGCAGAAAAAATAGTTTGCCTGTGGATCAGTCCCCGGTTTCAAGTCCTATCTTCTAGGACCATAAAATTGTATTTGAAAGTACTTGCTAACAAATCATGTTCTTTTCCACTTGTACTGAAGCACTATGTACCATTTTGCACAGCTGAACATCTAGCAATTTTGTTTTTAAATTGGGGCATTCTGCTGTAAAACAATAAACATACTTACTCTGTCTGTGTTGAAATTACTACATAAAAGCTTTGGGAAAGCCTCTTTTGTTTGAAAACTTGTTTCAGATAATGGTTCCTCTGATATACTGCACTGTAACAGAATAAGCTTGATTTTTTTAAAAAAAAAAAAAATTGAATGTGAGAACTTCAGTGGGGTGGGGTGGGGGAGCATGGATTATACTAATAGAAACTACTCCCATTCTTTGTGCCTGATAGTGTACAATGGGCTGCTGCAATTGGCTTTTTGCATGATTCTTAGAAATTGATTTACAACTTTTCATATGATTTAAAATGGGGTGTTTTCTGTTGTAGTGCTAGGAGAATCCAAAGTCCCAAGGACAGTCAAAAAGTAATACTCTTGCCCTTGGTAAAACAGCTTAAAATGAAATTTTTTTTTTTTTTAAATCAATATAGAAAGCAACATGGCATTCATGCAAAAACCCAGGAACCTAGTAAATGCCTTCAACTTCTGAGTAACCTGTGTATTGTATTGTTGCTGCTATTTGGAAATGCTGATTGTGCCATTCAAGATACTGTTTGGCCTGATCTGTAGCAGTGGTCAGTACCTCTGTGGAAGGTGAATTTAATCTGAAATGAGGTTCATTCTAAGAGGTGAAGTTGATGGGGGGTGTGAGAGGGAATAACTGCTTCTGTGTAGCTGTAAAATATAGATCAAGATAGGTCAGCCTTCAATATTAACTGATTGATGTCTAGTTCCAGGGATTGTCAGAAGACCAAAATCAGACTGAATAATATCTTGTACTGCTATTTGAGATAATGTAATACCTGTGTGCCGTTCTTCATATGTACATAATCTTACTTTTGTACTTTGTAATCTGCAAAGACGTGGTAGGGGGACCAGTAAAGGAAAACAAGGTGTTCATCTTCCAGTTGTGTTTTTAGGAACTCCCTGTATCTTGAGAAAGAAACTATGTCACTGTATGAATCATTGAAGGCTGACTGAGCTGTCTTGAGTTCTTTGTGTGCCTTCTGAGGTTGCTGTTCAAGATGAAGTATTTAAATTAACTGCTTGGCTTTGGCTGATTATTACCTTCCTCTCAAACATAATTTACCTTTTTCCTTTCACTGTTGCACAAGCACTGCTTTCAACATCTGTATGTGAATGTAAGTATGTTACACAGCTACTTTGTACACAGGCTAATAGCAAACTTTATGTACCCTCTGCAAGTGTTCTTTATCCTGTTTGGTAATGCTAGCTCCCTTGTGGTGCGGACAGGTCATTTGCTGTTTCAGTTGTATTTATATTGATTTGGGGGGGCAGGGGAAGAGTTTTTGTCTATATAAATACATGGCTTAGGTTTATTTTCTGTACTGGTGGCTTGAAAGGTAGAGATGATGATAGGATACCTCACTGTGAGTGTATGGTGGCCCAAGCTTTGAGAGGAAGAACCGAACATGACAATTACTTAAGCAGCCCCTGAAAGAGGGAGGACATTTTTCACCTCCACTCCAGAACTAGGTTTTAACCAGAAATAGGAAAATAAATCAATGCAAGTGTAGGTGGTTTTTTAAGTGGAACTGCAATTTACCGATGCTGTGTGTTCAGCATGTACTACTTGGTGTTCAATTTATTTTTTTTTTTAGTATATGGCTTCCCTTAGTCATGCAGCAGCAATTTTCAGTGTGTGATTATGCAGTGTGGGAACGTAAGAGGCAAACAATAAATGAGACTTTTAAAAAAAGCATTTGTTCTCTGCCTTATTGGAACACTTGTTGAAATGTATTTATTTTGAAAAATATTTTTAACAGGAAAAGATCTGGAATTTGTTTAAGAAAACACTGGCATGTATAGCCTATATTATTTTTAAAAGGCATTGGAAATAGGGCTTGCATCCTGTGAAGGGAAGAAATAAAATGCATTGGTGTGAAGGAAATCTTTACATTTAAAATCCAGTTATTAAATCTTACTGCAGATTTTATTCCAATTCTCACAGCACTTACACTGGATTTTTTGAAGATTTAAATACTGTCTATGTGAGTTAAGTCCATATTAATACTGCAGAGGTTCACATTTGCATTGGAAATACTGAGCTCATGAAAGGGTTGACTGGCAGCCCAGCATTAATAGTTAATTTTGGCAAGTGTCATTTTATTTCCCATTTTCTGTTTTGCATAAAGTTAATTGAATATACTGTGACACTTCAGTATTGCTGGTTGCAAGGTTGAAGGGCAATTTTAAACACTTTAAAGAGCTAGTTTCTGCTTCAGAAAATACTCTGGATATATAAAAATGATAAGCTGGGAAAATTTACTCCTGTGGCATTCTTAAGCAGTCCTATCATCCTCTAGGAAATCATATTCAGAGGAAAGAAGCATCATAGCGATGAAGATGGGAAATAAGTTTCTTTTGTGTTGTGGATGAGGGGCCTTGTCTTACATTGTGAAGGAAATCTCGGTGAGGTTTAAGCAAGTCTTCACAGCGGACGTTTGCAGAAAAGCTTAGCTGCCAGGCATTGTGTTCTTGAACAACGGGAGAACAAATTTTACTGATTTTCTCCACTTTTTTCCACTGCTCCATTTTAGATGGATTTTTATGGGACAGACTTTTATAGGTGATTATAGTAATTTCTGGTCTGGTTTGAAGTACTTGTCAGGGGAATCCATGATTTTCTTTCATGTTAGGGAATTCAAGTGTTTTCTTTTTGGAAAGTTAGGTCATCTCTTCAACCATAGTTATTTCCTCGGTACAATGTGTTTTTGGTAGATTTACATATTTTGTCTAAAGAGAAAGAAAATTCTGTAACATGTAATAATCTCCAGAGTCACTGTTGATCAGAGAACATTTCTAAATATTAGATACACCAGTACCAAAGTCTTGCGATTTTAATATGTAAGTAATGCTTGCAAAGCAGGAGAAAACAGTTAAGTATTGTTTGACTTTTAACATCTGTGGTCAGTACTAGCTATTTGTCAGCAGAAGGAAAAAGAATAAAAGTTGATTTAAATGATAGACAACCTTAACTGAGACAATAGGAGAAATTTATTCAGTGATTATTGTCTGAGTTTTGCATACGTAGGCATTAACTAGACTTACAGAGAAAACATTTTGGTTGCTATCATACAGTTTGATGGTGGTTAACCTGGAGAGTTCTATGATGGTGGAAGTTTCTAGGTAAGATCATAGTACTGATACAGCGCTTGGGGCTTAAAATATTGAGGGGAGGTAAATTTGATTTTTAAAAAAGGAGGGATTGTAAGGGGAGGGGTAGGGAGAAAGGGGCAGGGAAGGCAAGCTTGCTGTAATATTGAGGGTATGTCACAGAACATCAAACCCAGATGTCTTGGTAGGGAATTCTCTCTAGGAAATCTCTGGGATTGGTAAGCACTGCAGGGCTTTGTGGTCATGGTGTTTTGTGCTACTCGGCCATTCTCCAAGGAAAACAATGCATCTGCACACAGAGTGTGTCTTGCAAGTTCTTGGGAGGTATTTAATTCAGGAAAATTAAAACAAAGTATTAAAGTATAGTTCTGGGTGAGGGTGAGGAAAGCATTTGGGGTGAGAATGACCAAAAAGTGAAGGAAGTTGAGTAAAATAAAATGGATTAGAGGAATGCAAGGTGTGTGATGTACTGAGTGAATTGGTTGGTAGGATCTTAGCCACAGCAAATAAGAAAACCAGCAGTTCTTTTATCATGAGTGTTAAGGATACAAGTGCAAACTCAGTGCAGAAAGGTTAGGGTTGTAAATCATGAGGTTTTTCAGTGATCTAAGGAAAAGTTATATTGTGAAACAGGACAAATAATGAGAAAACGTGAAAGGTCATCAAGTAAGTAGGGACAAAATGAGGAAACACAAGCTTTAAAAATGTGTGATTAGCAAAGGACATTACAGGTTTCAAAATGACTCCCAAAAATATTAGCACTAAATGCCAGGAAGAGATAGTCAGGTGCAAATCTCCCAGAGAAGGAGAGCTCTCCTGAGATAACCTATTTGTGCTTTATTACCCGCTTTGAAGAATTACAGCATTCAATCAGTGTTAAAGATACCTGAGTGTGGAGAGAAGAAGTAAAATAGAACTAAGCTTTAAGGTTAGATTAAAATAGTCAAAAGAGTCATCTAGAAACTGTTTAGACACGTCAGAGACTTACAAATTATCTTCACAGTGCGTGTTGGCAGGTATGAGGCAACCTGAGCTGAGGGCTTCGCGTGAACTCTGACAGTCAGTGCTGATAAGTTGCTGCTTGCGTGGAAGTGCCTGTGCCACCGTCTACAAAACCACATCCACAAAGGCTTCTGGGTTGTAGCGGGGTGATGTGAGTGGTTCCGGTAGTATATGCGCAGGAATTTGGAAGCTGCCCAAGTTTTGTAAAAGCAAGCAATCTGGAGTCTGCAGTTTCTGAAGGACTGCTTGCTACTTTACTAGCAATTGCTATTTGATAAAAGGATGGACTGTGGGCTGCTGCTGCTGCGTAGCCTTAGCTCTGGCAGCCTGATATGAAGTGAGCTATCAGGTATTTATGACTTAAGGTATATGAGGAAACTCATCCAAGTTACATCGCTACCTGCCTTCTACTAAAGCCAAAGTGGTAGGACCAAAGAGAAGTAAGTTAGAACAATGTGCTGGTATGAACTATATACACTAGAGAGTTTTAGGAGTAATAGCTTTGAGGATACTTTGTAAAGGATTGAAGGAAAATTTCCGTGTCACTTTTGAAAGCCTCATTGAAAAGGGTACTGTTGCCCAGTGAAAGGTTGTAGGCAATAAACAACTAGCCTGATACATTGATTTAAAGTACATCTTTACTTCAGCCAGCTGATAGAAAGCATTCCCTTGCTATGCAGACACTGTACAAACCACCATTCAAATGGACAAATGAGAGGAGAAGCATGAACGGTTTGAAGCCTGGTTGTCATGATATGTGAAAAAAGACTGGAAGAGTGAGCTGCCGTTGACAGTGTGCAAGTGTGTAAGATACTGTAGACAGGAAAGGAATAAGGATAAGAAGTAATGGATTTTAAGTGCAGCGAAACAGGCTATTAATAAAGCTTTCTAAAAGTAAGGCTAATTAAACGTTGGAATAGACTGCAGAGGGATGCTACAGAATATCGGTCAAACACAATTTGCACGTAACATTGAAACTGTCATAGCTAATCCTATGCTGAAGCAAAGAGGACGGCTAGTTAAGCTGTTGAGACTTTCCAGCCCTGTTGATTTTCATGATTCAATGCAACAGGATTTTTACATGGGTACAGGTCAGACTTGTATATATTCACATTGTATTATGATCATTGATATTTGAAAATGCTAATGGAAAATGCTTCCTCACTGAGGTTATTTTCAAAGTGTGAACAGCAACCTAGAAAAACTGCTATATGCAGAAATTACCAGTCTCAGTCAAAGTGATAACTCTGGTCTTAAAATATGGCTGCAAATATGTACAGGATAATCCCTAGTCTCAGCACTAGCATAGAGCATTTCTAGTTTCACAACAGCATACTTTGCATGAAAGCGAATTAGTTTTTAATGGACCAAATTTAACGCTCATCTTTATATGCCAATTATTCTAGTCTTTGGCCTGTCGTAGTTTATAGTTAACAAATTTGACTGAATTGAAAAGAAAGCATACCTGGATATCTTCATCAGTTGATGCATCAAATTTTTCTCTTGGTTGTGGTATGGGAGAAAATATGCTCTTGAAACTGCAATACCTTTGGGTAGAAAATGGGATTGCGAAGAAATTAAAAGTCCTGGTAATATAACTTAACACAAACATTTTGTGTTGTACTTAAGGACATTTTTTACATTCAAGATTAAATAGCTGTTGCTCTACAAATCACTAAGTGAGAAGTAAATTATATTGAGTGTAGACTGAAGGGTACCTATTAGTACACTTATCACTGGGGTAACTAAAATTTATTTTGTGACCAGTAAATACTTTATTAAACAATGACTTTCAATAAATCACATGACATAACTTTCTTCCACAAGTAAGTGAGAAGTTTTATCAGAATAATGACATCTTCGTTTGTCCCTCTTCTCTCTTGTCTGGTAGTGTCTGAAGCCAATGGCTTCAAAGCGATGTGGATGTTAAATGTTTAAAAGTGAGAACAGAAATGTTTTTGCAGGATCTGGTGGAATCCATCACTTACTAACTTAAATATCCTTTCCCCCTTTTTCACTTGGAGTGATTTTCCATGCCAAAGTGCCATCCATGACAATACTGGTAATAATACCTCATTACATTAATAATCAGATTATTTAAGTTTGTAGGTAGGAAGGTAGGAAACAGGAAGAATGTGTTTCATAGAAATAATACTGTATCAATAGTTTCTACATCAATAAGGTTGATTTACCTTTTGAAAAGAAAATATTGGAGCAGTGCCACTGAGATTGTTCCAAGTGCTATCAGAAATAAAATCACAAAAATAAAGTAATCTTTCCCTTGACCTGAAACATCCAAGAGAGAGAAATATCTTAGCATGCCAAAAAGCTACCTTTGTGACTGTCAGTAATGAATGCAAATTTCCCCTGATTATCTGAAGACTTCAACTTGACTTCTTACAGAACCTTGTAAAAAAGTTCAGGTACACGTGACTCATTTTAAACATTTAAAATGTAGAGAATTAAAAAAAAAAAAAACAGAAAAGGAGAAAAAGAAACAGAGTCAGAGAACGAATAACAGAGCAAAAGTGGCGGAACTGTAACAAGAGCATTGAGGAAAGGGTAAAAAGGAAGATGCAGAAGGAAGGAGATGATATTCATGGCAAAAACTTAAAGAACTGAAAGGCAGCCTCAGCACTTCAGACCGAAGACAAGACTGGGTCTATCTCAGCCTGTTCCTGTAGCCCTGGCATCTGAGTGACTGCTGCCTTCAGAATCCCACCTAATCAAAGCCTCCCTTTGGTATCAGCCTCCCTTGCCATAGTATTGGAGCTTCTCCTCCACATGAATAATTTCCACCCAGTTCCTTCCATGTCTTTAGGTAAGAATGAAGATTTTAGTTGTATCTGTGAGTGTGAGGGAGCAAGGGAGGCAAACATGGTAATACTGAAAAAAAAAATAATCTGTATTAAAATAAGATTTCACAGTCTTACCAAACTCGATGGGTTCGCTCCATTCCCCCCAGTTTGAGCTTACGGAACAGTATTTTCCACGTGCTCTGATTTTCAGAATGTATTTTTTTTTCTCATTGTAATTTTGGAATTCGTAGCTGTCAATTCTTACCTAAAATCAAAGCAATCAGACTGTGCATTTCACCCCATAGGAAAATACTAATAAAATTTGGGGTTTAATTTCCTGATACAGTTTCTATAAAAAACTAATTTGTATGATTTTGTAGGTGTGTAGTAGTTAAATGTTCTTCTCCCCAAATTTAAAACCATGATAAATTAGTTCATCCTGCCACCAAACTTTTCTGGATTTTGAACTTCATTGGGTCTTTAATTTATTTTATTATGCTTTAAGGACACTTTTTTCCCTGTCCTTGTTTATGGATCCTAAAAAAACCCAGAAGGACAGAAAGGTGAAACTGGGGAAGTACCCTATAAACTCACCTTACAACCTTTACAGGGATTAACCATGCAAATATTCCCTGGGTGGTGTCTGTCTTCGCTAAACAGACTTAATGTCTGTGAGACAATCCGATAACAGAACTCTATCATCTGGCCTCATGACACTATACAAAGTCTGGAATCTGCCAGGCCTAAGATGCTTCCAGGGCTGAGGGGACCCCTCATCCGTCAGGGGAAGACTGGCAGCGTGTATTAACTTCCACGGGTTTTGAAGATCTCGGCGATCCCTCTGTCTAGCTATCCTGAACTACAGTGGTGTTTTTCCACCAACAGATATGAGAAAGGGAATGTTTCCAATTTTTATTAAGCAAAATGTCACATCTGTCTTAAGCAAAATCTGTTTGTGCAATAAATGGAAAGTATGAAGATTTGTGAAATGCATGGAAAAGCCTGCTTAGTCTAAGCTACCCCATCCAAAAGGGATGTATTAAGTTTAGACATAAAGATACCACAGGAACATGTTTTTCTAAATTCTCATCGCTATATTGATACCAAAACTATAGTTCTAGAAGTAAGTATATTTTATATAATGGTATTTATATGCTTAAGTGGGCAAAAGCACAAATTTGTATATGACAAGAATACTTACTTCTTCAGAATGATCATCCTTTTTCGCTTCTTTGGGGTCATCCTGCAAACCAAAGAAAAAAATCTTCATTTTTATTACTTTCTTGCCACACAGTCAAATACTTCTCCCTCTTTTGTTCTCATTTTCTTCCTTATAAAAATTGTAAGTAATTTTAAACTGAAAAATCAATTGGATATTGTGCTCCAGTAATATCCCAGAATATAGCACTTTATTCAGGGTTTTGGCTTCCTCCATTTCATTTCAGAAAAGGAAGGAAACATGAATTATTTATCAGTGGCTGTGAGAAGGTGTATTTGGCTCTAAGGGTGTATTTACACTGTACATTCTCATCCAGCAGAAGTATATCCAAATTACGCAAGCAATCAAATTATCCTCCAAACACAGCAGATCTGGAAGCTGTGATTTCACAATGGTTTGATAACATGGAGCAGAAAATTGATGTGAACAGCAAATTTACCCTCCTTCCAGTCAAAGTCTCTGTTAGATGTCTGAGTGATCCATACTCAGGGTCTTTCCACAAAGTACTCTGAAGAGCTACTTACACATCCCATACAGTCAAAATTTAATTAACTAGAATCAAACATTGACCTGGATCAAAGAACCTGAAAATTTTGAAAAAAAGGATATGTTCAAAAATGAGTGAAGAAAATCAACAGCAGTGATTTTTAGCAAGGATCCCAGAAAACATTGAAAAGCTGAGGTCCTGGAAACATCTGTCACATGTAATGTCAGAAGGATAGCTGGCATTATGGAAAAGTCAGAAAGATGTTATTGGAAAGAACGTCTCATTTCAGAAAATACACCCGCTGTGTATGTTGTATTATAAAGTAGACCAGTATTTCTCCATTACTCATCATCAGCTGAGCTCTTTCAACTTTTAGGACATGATGGAAGTCACCAGCCTATGCTGTGAATCGGGAGGGTGCAAATGAGTTACTTCAGGTGTGCAGTGTCATTTTAGCTGCCTTACCGCTGATGGTCCCCCCTGAAAAGTGTGAGTTATATCTGCTATCTCCATGTAGGTACCTCTGGGACCTTCACTACCTGTAGCACCTTACGGGGAATGAGACGCCTACTGCTCAGCTGCACAAAGCCCTGGATGTGCATTGACTGTTACAAGATATCTGTGCTCCTTTGCTGATGCCTATATTAAGGTGTCTCAGTCTGCGAGATGAATTTCACACCCAAATGTAGGAATCTGCTGAACTCCACTCATTCCATCTGCGGTGCGGGAAAGAAGAAATAATGTGTATTTCTTTAAAAGAAATGTTTTGATAATATTGCTTTAGTCATATGTTGTAACCTATATCTTCAGGTAAAACATTCTAAGTATTTCACACAAGATCTTGCTGTCAAATCATTCTAGCCAGCTGGAAAGCTATGTGTACTGCAACTGCTCCTTGAAATAGCTGCCAAGGCAGATACTATTAATGCATGCAAGAATCCAAACAGCCTGCAAGCTGCAGGCCTTGTTTTGAATGAATTGATGAGTTTTAATGCTGTATTGCTTTATTGTGTTTGTATATTTATGTTTAACCCTTAGCTGATCTTTCGTGTAATGGTCTTGTGTTACAAATGCCTGAGGAATTGCCACTGCAGTAAGCTTCTGAGCTGTGGCTGGGGTTAGGTAGGGAGCACTAATCTGTCACGGCACAGACATCATCCACGTGTGGAAATCATGTAAAGGTAAAGCAGGTATCCCAGGGATGGGGAGGAAGAGTGCTATTTCTTGCCTCCTTGTCAAACTCCTGGGCTCAAAGAGTTTTGCTGCCCTTTGTCCTTGGGGAGGTTAAAATTGGGTCTTTTAGGCACTGGGATTTGTGGAGGAGGATTTGATGCCTCAGCACCTCTGCTCCGTCGTACGTGGTGGAAACGAGACATACCTCAGCTGAGGTAAAGCACGTACTCTGTGCCGTCCTGCACTTTTCCTGCGGTCACTCTGGTAAGTTGGCAGTGCTCTGCCTATAGTGTAGGAGAAATCCCAGCTCACTTTTGGTACATACATGTTTACGTCTGAGAGAGACGTTTTAGATTCCTCTCCTCCAGCCAACGGGAAGAAAGAAGCACTTTAGGGACATGATTTTTCTGTCACCTGCCTTGGAAGGAGATGGTAACACCACACCTGACTGCAGAGATGTCTCCCCTGGGCCCGTGCGAACTTTCCCCTGAGTTGCTGGTATCTAATTTTTCAGAAGAGTGGCTTCTGTTTCAGCGCTGGTTTCAAACCAGAGGTTTTGGCGGACACTGTGTGGACCGGCGGGGGTCCACGGGTTAGCTCAGCCAGGCTCCGGGGAAGGACGGCGCCGGAGGGAAGGCTGCCAAAGGGCGACAGAGGTGGTGGAGGAGAGGTATGGGGGCTGAGGGGGGCAAAACAGTCCCACGTGTTGAAATGGAGGGGCTGAAGCCACCTGTAAAAAATGTATTTTTCCCTTCCTGGGAAGCAGGAGGAGGGTGAGGGGCCCTGGCCTGGGCTGGAGGCTGGCACTAAGGCAGCGCCCTGGTTGCAGATCGCAGGCTGCCATCACCCAGTCGTCTCCCGCGAGATGTGCTTATGCAAGGAAAGCATCTCGGGAGCTTTCCCAGCCTTTGGACAGAGACCCTTCGTGACATTTCCCTGCTCTCGTCTGCTTTTCTGCTTTGCGCCTCTGATCAGGTTGAAGTAAGGTTGTGAGCGGTGGGATGCGAGACCAGCAGAGCAGGAGCAGGAGGACAGCACAGCTTATGAAAGAGAAGTTAATAAATAAAGGAAACAGAAGTTTGCATGTTATAGATATGCGTGTACATAGGTACGGTGCCAAATACAAACAAAAAAATTGTTTTTACCTTATTTCGTATGCTTATTTGATACTGGAAACAGTCTGTGTCTTTCATATGACTTGTAAGGGGTGGTTGCCATGTAATTATGCAACCCACTGAATCTCTAGTGCAATTGACAGTGACATTTAATGGAGGAGTAAGTATTTCTGGAAGAAATGAAATAATTAATGGTCAGTAATCAGCTACAACTCGTGTTCATAGCAAAATACATGTGAAGTTGAGGCAACGGATGTACAACTGTGTGCTAAGGTTGTTAACAAATGTTATCTGCAAACAGGAGTAAAATACAGTAGCAAAAGTTGGGAATGTATCACTTTAGTTGTTGGACATCTGAAGTAACCGAAGTTCATGTAAAAAATGTATGAAGGATTTTCTGTAATTCAGTAGTACAATCAGCAGAGTGCCATTTTCTTCTACATCTAAATTTCACATTGGCAATGCAAGTCTCCATAGGAATAAACATGGAAGTTTTTGTTTGTGTGGTATTATTCATGTCAAGTCATCTGAATTTGAGTGCCTACAATAGAGTTGGCTAGGGGTGACCTAAGTGTCTACCACTCTAGTCAGCAAAGACCTCATCAGTAGTGCCCAGGATGTCTGCAAAGCTCTTTGGCGCACCGCGGAGCAGGCGTACTCGTCTGAATCGCTGTGGGCTTTACAGCCTGCACCAGCTGCAGGCAGGAGTCAGCCTCACGCTGCGGACACCGGCAGGACCCTGGTCTCTCACAGGTCCTGGGCCACGTCTGTGTGAGAGACTGGAAGAGTTAATGTCTCAAACCTTGTGGTGGGGCAAGTTCTGCTTAAAGACAAACCCTGCAGAGCAAGGAACCCAGGTGAAGAGCCCATCAGCTCAGACATCAGCAACAGGAGGGGGAGGGCGTGCTGGAGGGTGCGCAGCTCCCTGGTCTGATCAGCTGTTCTGATACAAAGATCCAACAACGGCCGTGTCTGCAGGGAAGGAGAAGTGACTCCACAAACGACCCCCAAGCCCAAAGGCTCACAAACTGCTCATTAGCCTGACGAGTTCGGGTACCCGCCCGAAGGAGGGGCAAGGATGATAAAAGGACACAGACCGAAGCCCCAGGTGCGCAAGCCCACCGGGACTGGACCCCTTGGCTGACTGCACCAACGCTGGACCCAGGACCGGTGAAATCTTTCTCTCTTCCTTTTTCTCTCTCTGTCTTCTTCTCTCTTTCCTTTTCCACAATCCCTACACCTCATCCGTTTCAAGACGTAAACCGTTGACCAAGTCTGAGACTAAGAGTAGATCCAGCCGCCCCTAGACCCTTCTCTGAGGAGGAGTCTGGAAAGCGAGGGGGTCTGCTCCGAACCTCCTGACTCAACGGGAGGGATCTCCTTATTCCCTGAATTGATGTATATGGTTACACGGGTTACAGAAGTAGTCTTATGCCAATTCCTGTTGTGAGAAACCCTGCCACCTACTACCACTCGTCCCCAGTTCCGTTTGCTTCTGTCATGAATAGAATCTTTAACTGATCTTTTGGTGTCATTTCACCTTAATTTAGCACGAGGGAATTTCGAATTAAATGCGACTCCTTGGTCTGTCCAGTCTGGGTCGTGACAATCTGCAAGCCTTGTGGATGCCTGAAGTGTCTGAGGTTGTCTCAAATGGCACTAGAGGCATGTTTTTAGGCAACTGAATTCTGTCCCAGATCTCTGTTGGAGCTTAAACACCTAGCTCACACATAGGTACCCACGTATTTAACTAATGCAGGCTTAATTTGCAAGTTGAACCCTCCCTCTGGTTTTAGGAGCTCTTGTGGCTCTCAGAGAGGCGTGGAATTAAGGGATGGCAAAATGAGCCCATCAGAAAGGGGGCCTTGAAAGTCTAACCGTTGCCTTTCATCATCTGGATTCCATGGATATGTTCACACCACTTCTCTGAGCAGTTATTTCAAGCTGCCTCTGCCTTTGCTTGTTTTAGTTAGCTGACAGAATATAGTTCCAAAAATTATCGGGAGTGAAGTCTGTCCTGCAGTGCAGGATCCTGCAATGGCTACAGGCTTTGTTTTATTCTTCTTTTCTCTTTGAGGAAAATTCCTTGCTTCTTTATTTTATAAAATAAAAATGTTCACTTACCAATTTTATACAGTTGAATGTACTCATCATAGAGCTGGATCAGGGCATCTTTGCTAGACCCACTCACCAGGAAGTAAGCTTTTTCAGGCTCTATCCTCACATTTTGGAACATACATCCTGTGTTTCTGCCATTTTCATCTTTAATGTAGAGCTCACATTCCATTGCATCATCATATGTGTTTCTAGCAAGGTAATTTAGTTAAATGTGGTCAGTGTGATGTGTCGAGTGAGAATTCAGACTTCCCTGGACTCAAGTGGACCTACTTACCTCGAGTTCTGCCAGTAGAGAAAATATTGGGTATCTCCTGGAGCATCCCTGCCTGGCTGCCAAGTGCAGTTCATGAGGGAGATGTTATAAATCACACAGGAGAAGTTTTCGATGGCTGACCCATTCATGCCTGCAAACACAGGAATATCTGTGATGAGGAAAAATTGTGTGACTGCTCCAAGCTGGAGGATCTTGGCACATGCTGAGATATGTTAGACACCTGCAACTCCAGCTGGTTATTGCTTGGGTTAGGAATGACAGCTGAGAGAGAAAGCTAGACTCTCACCCTATTTTGACTGCCTCTGAACAGTGAAACCTGGGAGTGAGCAGAACATTCACACAGGTAAAGGAAGGCACATTGCCTTATAACACCATCCTTGGTGCTACAGAGAGAAGAATTTGTCCTTTTGCAATTAATGCCCAGGAATCTACTCCTGAAGTGTTGACACACAGCATTTTAAAAGCTGAGATTTTTAAAAGTAAGGTTGGGCTTTTTTCTGCCCTCCAGTCAAACAGGCTCCTAGCTAGATCTTTCCACCCTGATGGGGGCAAAAGTGACTTGATCTCTTCCTTTTCTGGAGCACACTGAAGTGGGAACCTTGTTTCTTTGGAAGGTCCCTTGGGGCTGGGCTGGGCAGGCATGCTCAGCCTCCTTCTCTCTTCTCCTTCAGCCAATTTTCAGTGCCCCAACTTCGGCGAAAGGATGAAGGCTTCCTTCGCTATTGCCTCCAGCCCCCTCCAGCACCCAGTATTGAGGGCACGCCAGGGCCAGATTTGGAGATTGCTACCTTCAGTTTGCCCCTGGCTGCTTAGCATCGGCATTTCTTTTCCTCTCCTCCTCCCATTTTATGGGTTTCACTGATCCCCAGACTGTGCCTTTAGCTAGCGCTGTGGTCTGGCTCTTGACAAACTCAGCAAGAGCCCAGCAGAAAAGCATTTAATAAAGAAATGGGCGCTAACATCTTAATTTGTGACAGCCAGAACAGTTATTTGAATCCACCCTTAAACCACTGTAATTTAGTGGCATTTCGGAGCCCTAGTATGAAAGAGAATAATGCAATTACTGATACATTTGTAGTAATGCAGCTCTTGCAGAATTGTGGAAACATTCATTGCAGAGCAAATAACTTCAGCAGATCTGAAAAAAAATATTTTTAATAGAAAATAAAGTGGTTACCTACTGTGTAAGGGATTGTTTTCTACGGAAAATTGATTGTTTACCTTTAAAAGATTGCAAATGGAGAAAACCTTACCCAGACCATAGACATTACCTCCAGGGATAAAAGTGCAGTGTTTTGAGATGTTTGTGTCTGGCACTTCAATGATAAAGGATACCCCTTTGTGCAGGGGCATGTCGAGTTGCACTGGAAACCTGCATAGTGAACTATTCACCTGAAAGAGAAGACGTTAATGTTTTATTTCTCTGTTTTTCCTCTGCTGGTGTTAGATGATGCTGGCCATGGAAGTGCAACTTAGAAACTCAATTTGTAGGGCCAAAATCTTGCATGTATATGTATGTGTTTTAGGCTCAAGAGCTAACTCTCTCCTTTACCATTTGAGGGTGGTGTAGAATGGAGCTGAGTGATCAAAAGCATGACTACGCAAAAAGCTTTGCAGCTCAGGAGTTGGATGCTACACTAGAGTGCAACTATTAGAGAAGGCTAATAGTACCTCAGTGGCATAACAGAAGATAGTTAATAAATAGGGGAACCACAACAGAATTTAATCAAAGGATTAAGCAAAACAGAAGTCCTCGTCTGACCTCCCCAGGGGTCAAAAAGGTGTCTATGGCATTATAATCTTCAATAAAGATGTGATGTGGTTTTGTAATAAGTATTTCTATTTAAGACATCTGCTTTGCTAGGATAAATAAGCCATCTCTATCTCTCTTTCTGTCAAGCTTCCTACTTTTCTCTTTGGCTAATGTGGGCTTATAACATAACCTGTGCTACAGGCATGATCCATTTTACTGGGAAACAAGTGAAGAACTTGAGATAATGAAAATCAGTGGCAGTGTTTAGGGAATTAATTTTTTTATTTGAAGGGTCTCTTGCTCTGTCTCTCTAAATTTTCTAGGAGTCTCACAGCCCCTTTTTTCAGCAGCTACATCTCTGTTCATGAATCAGTGTAGGCACAGTTCAGGCTATTGCCTCTTTTCCACTTTGGTGCTGGAACTTCAGTTCCGTGGTATGCATGGGATGCTCCTCCTGCAGCAAATGCACCCTGGCATTCGTGACAGCTTTCCACAGCCCCTGGCAGATCAAGCTGTAGACTGCAAACAATCACTGATCAGATTTTACCTGCAGCTGATTCATTTTTTTCAAAGTAAGTGAAGTCGATAAAAGGTAAAGAAAAAGGCGCAATTATTTTCAATTCAATTATTTTCTCAATGAATAGCAGGTTTACCTCTTCCGGTACACTTCTCGTGACGCTGTTCCTGATGACACATTTGTACTTAGAGAAATTCTTGCTGCTCTCCCAGGACAGTTCCATTTTTCTCCAATTCATTTTTACGTTTGTAATAGGTGATTCTTGTTCCTCTGCTGAAAACGTACAGAATAAGCTCAGTAAGGATATGCTATTGTTTTTGTTGAATGCAGAGGATAGTATCTGTCAGGCTTAAGATGACAATTGCCAGATTAATTGAAAATATCTCTGATAAATGAAGAATTAAACACTGTTTCTCAGACTGTATCTACAAAAATATACTTACACCCCATACACTGGATGTCAGCATGCAGAGGATGAAATAGCACCACACACCACCAAATCACGCAAAGAAGTCCAAGAGTATCAAACATCTTTTCTTCTCTGGAAAGAGACAATGAAGCCTTCAGGGAAAAAAAAAAAATAAAAAAAAGAAAAATTATGCTAAAGTGTACTTTGGTTTCTGCAAAGCTTCATTTTTTTCATGGGAATAGTCAAAGATGATGTCTAATTCATCTCTAGCAAATATTATTTAGAAAAGCCAAGCAGAGGGTGTGCTTCAAGATGTCTGGCTGGCACCTCTTCTTTCAAAGAACTGAATAGGCTCACTCTTGTCTATTACAGTGCAGCAGTTTGAGATAGAGAGGCCACAGACCCTCATTAAGATACCTGCACTCACTTTATTTGGTGCAGAGACCATGATTTAGGATTACTGTTGTCCCACATAACTATCCTAACCATACCATCAGAAAGTCAGGTTTTGTTGCTCTCTGATCCTATGAACATCACTGCGGATTTTCCTACTCAGTGCTCCAGCTTCTGCTGCAAAGTGAGCTTTTAGACTGGCTTTCAACCATCTGTTAAAGGCACCCGTTGGGAAATGGATGGTTTGGCTTTCAGTTGTGTCAGGGTGTGGATGACTCACTCCTCCGTGAGTTCCCTGTTAAAGCCAGCATCACCACCAGGCTTGTTCAGAGCCTGTACCTGCTCCTGCCAGCATGTCTTAAGAGTGCATGGAAACCATCGATGAGATCTGAACTGTTCTCCTGGTTTCGGCTGGGATAGCGTTAATTTTCTTTCTAGTAGCTGGTATAGGGTTATGTCTTGGATTCAGTATGTGAAGAATGTTGATAACACTGATGTTTTCAGTTGTTGCTAAGTAGTGTTTAGACTAAGTCAAGGATTTTTCAGCTTCTCATGCCCAGCCAGCAAGAAGGCTGGAGGGGCACAAGAAGTTGGGAGGGGACACAGCCAGGACAGCTGACCCAAACTGGCCAACAGGGGTATTCCATACCATGTGATGTCATGCCCAGTATACAAACTGGGAGGAGTGGGGCTGGGAAGTATCGCTGCTCAGGAACTAACTGGGCATTGGTCAGCGAGTGGTGAGCAATTGCATTGTGCATCACTTGTTTTGTATTTTCCAATTCTTTTATTAGTATTGTCATTTTATTATTGTTATTATTACCAGTATTAGTTTCTTCCTTTCTGTTCTATGAAACTGTTCTTATCTCAACCCATGAGTTTTACCTTTTTCCTTCTGATTCTCTCCCCCATCCCGCTAGACGGGGGGAAGCAAGCAAGCTGCTGCATGGTGCTTAGTTGCTGGCTGGGGGTAAACCACAATGACTGTCTAAGTAAAACAGGAAGAGAAAGGTCTCAATCTCCATCAGGTTTTAGCAGGAATTAAATGTTGACCTGCTTACCTTTTTTTGACTATGGCAAATCTACAGTCTTGCTTCAAAGTCTTTTGGGGTTGATTTCAAGACTTCATGTAGTAAGGGCTTAATAGCCTTAAAATAATGTTTAGAGCAATGCCCTGAATCACTTCTCAGTCTGTTCCTGGAGGCAAAGATCAAAGCTGACAGCAGACATACAGTTTGTTTTGTGTATGTTATCTATCAATTTCAGTGCTCTTTTCTATCACTTCTTTTCTTTTATGACCACAGATCAGCAAAGAACAGCTTTCCATTCCAAAAAGTACCTTAGGAGCTGGAATTCTGATGGGCCTTTCCAAAGGCCATTTGGCACTGGATAGCCCTGGATTCAGCTGCTTTTCTGTTGTCCTGAATATCCCAAATAGCAGCATTTATCATAAACTTGATGACACTTCTGTCAGTTCCTGACTAACGAGAATGAATTTTTCATTTTTATATGTGATCCTTCACTTCTTACCTCTTTTCATGGAGAACTGAATATAGTAAAGAATCCCAGTTGCTAGGTGTAGTTTACTGTATCTCACTATTAAATTAAATAGTTTTTTCTACACTTCCTTTGTTATTATTTGTTTTGGGTCCAGATATTGTTGAATCTTACTGTGGATGTTATTAAACTTTGAAGATCTCTTTTTTGTAATCAAAATACGATGCTAGCTCGTAGAACTATGTCATAATCATTTTAAACTAACGTAACTACAGTGATACACAATTGAACTTGGGCTACAAAATATACTTGAGAGGCTAGGAAAAAATGCTGAACCTGCTTAGAGCTATTTTAGAGAATGTGACTATCAAGTCTTCATGTACGGTTCATTTGAATGAATATTTACATAACTACAAACAGTATACACCTTCATTCTTGGTATTTCTGGTTGTCTGCACCTACAACTTTGATTCTGTAAGTTGTCAGTATTTTCTAGAACCTACTTCTGTCTTTGTGTGTCTTTCAGTCCAATTTCCCAAAATGACATGGTATGTGCTAGTGATCCTTTTCAATGAAGAATGCTATAAAAGACATTTTTCAGTGTTTCTTTCCCCTCTTGACTTGCCTCCATAATGTCTTGATAATGGAACAGACTTATTAGCATACCTGCACATATCCTGTGTGGGATGAATTTTGGTATTAAGACATCTAAAAGTATCTACAAGTAAGTACTTACATAAGCACAAGTTGTTTAAGCTCCCATTATAGTCAATAGAGATCTGTGTGAACTCCATTCACTGCTTCTGCTACACATAAATAATTTCTCACTATTTGCTTTAAAGCCTTGGACTATTGCTATATAGAAGTCTTATTAACTTTTTTAGTATCTTCTGTTTTCCTCTACTGAGTTTCTTTGATTTGGAAGTCTTTTTCTTAAAGGCACTTTTTTAAGCAGCAACCAAATCTTACACTTGGTTAAATTTCTTTTGCCTACTTTTTTCTTTTCTCGTCTCTCGCAGAGCGTGTGAGTATTGCCTCTGGTGAAGCAGTGGTAGACCACGTGTAGGAGGCTATGCGTCCCCTTCCAGGCTGTGTGAGTGCAGGAGAGGGTTGGCATTGCTGCCTGGTTCAATGAGGTAATTCATGGCTGTACTTTCTTGTGTTGTCCTTCTCTAGCTTAAGAAACACTTGGTTCTGGCTGGGCTGGAGTTAACTTTCCCCAGAGCAGCCCATATAGTGCTGTGCTTTGTATTTGTAGCTAGAACGGTGTTGATAACGCAGCGGTGTTTGGGCTGTTGCTAAGCGGTGCTTGCACAGCATCAAGGCTGTCTCTCCAACCCCGTCCCACCCACCCCACCAGCGAGCAGGCTGGGGCGGCACAAGGAGTTGGGAGGGGACACAGCCGGGACAGCTGACCCCAACTGACCCAAGGGACATGCCAGACCATAGGACGTCATGATCAGCAGATAAAGCCGGGAGAAAGCAGGAGGGGTGTGGGAGGAGGCGTTCATTATCAAGGCATTTGTCTTCTGAAGCAACCGCTGTGTGTCCTGAGGCCCCCCTTCTCCAGGAGTGGCTGGATACCACCTGCCCATGGGAAGAAGAGAACAGGGAAAAACGGGATTGAGAGGGAGGCTTGGTGGGCACTTGGTGGCCAGCCAAGGTCAAACCACCACAGTATTTTTTCCCTGTTTGCTATCACAAATGGCTCTCCACTTGTTAAACTAGATTGACTCTGTTCTTAGAGGTTTACATCCCTCACCTCAGAATAGTCTACTTTAAATTTTTGCTTGTTGCAGCATCAGAAACCGAGGAGTCAGATGTTACAGATCACTGTAGGAACTTTAAATTCTAAGGAAGCGTGAGCCCTGCAAAGGGCGACTCCACATTCATTTCTGTGGTGTGGAGGTCTGAGCAGAGCTAGTCAAACAGTGGCATCAGTTCTTGTCAAACATATCTGTATCTTAGGTACCACTTTCCTTTTCTCATGGGAAGTTAAAACTCCTTGTAAGAGATTTCTCTATTCCCAACATTTGTTTTTCTGTTTTTTTCTACATGAGGAAGCAATACTGGTTAATGTTTTTTATTTGTTTTAGTATTTCCTAGTAGCGTAACTTCCTAGTAGCAATTCTCTTGATTGCAGGCATTTCTAAGGTTAATTCTAAGACAGTGAGGTAAATTCTTACAAATGCAGGAAAAAGAGAAACATGATAATGTTTTGTTACATGTCTGTCCTTCTATATTAATTTCATGGTCCTTTCAGAGTGCTGATTCCAGACTGACTCCATTTGTAGTGAAAGTAAAAACCTAGCCAGACCCTCCAAGGAAGCTGTAGTCTTGAATATTTCCAGGAGGCGCCTCACATTTTGTGGAAATTGGCTTCATGTGACCCATCCATCGTGGTCTCCAGGACACTATGTCAGGGTTGCAACAGAGACAGACTCTTCACTGTAGCCTGATTATTCTCTGCTTATCTCTTGCAGCATCAATTTTTTCTTTGTAAATCATCATGCTACAGCGAGGATGTGGCCACAGCTGCTGGGAGGTGATACTGAAGAATCTTAAGTACAAACAGTATGGAGGACTGGTTGTAAAATGCTATGTGAGATATTGCTCTCAATAGTTATTTCCACTTTCCCATGCTCTCAGTGATCTCTCCAGTAATGCACATAGGAACCTCGAGATCTCCTGTCCTCCTAGTCTGCCCCTTTTCATATAACTATATTTTTCTCCATTTTGTGCCATCTGTTCAGTCACTCTTAACGTTTTCTCCTTTCTTTCCTCATCCTACGTTCCTTTTTAGGCATTTGTTTTCCTATTCTCTGGCAACTGTGTGCTCACCTTTCCTTTATAGTCTTTGCTTTATTCTTCTTGTCATCTCCCTCTGTCTGCTCTCATGACTTCACTGCTTTCAAAATCTCCCTCAGGTTTCCTACACATAACAGCAGCCCCATACTGCAAGCACTGTTCACGTTTTCTCATGGAAACCCTTGTCTGGAGCACTGCCGAAGGAGTCGTCTGCAGCCCTGCCAGTTTAGAGGAGCGTGCTTGCTGGCACCGTTGCCTCCAGGCTCTGGACGTGACATGGGGCTTGCTGTGGGAATAGCAGGGCCTGTAAGCGTTCGCTTTCCTCATAAGAAATGATGATTTCCATTGACCACAGCACTAAGGGGGTTTGCTTCCCAAAGGATTCGTGTTTCACAGTTGACTGAATTTTAAAACAAATTACACACAAAAGGGTTAGTGTTGGGTCATGCCTGTGTTCTCTCTATCGCCCCAGCTGAATGTACCAACACAGACCCAGGTTCCCTGGCTTTTCTCTGGCCTGCAGGCAGAATAAGAGATATAGGAGCTGACCGACCCATACCTTCTGCCTGGTGGCCAAGCAAGTGGCTCCAGCACCACATCTGTAGGAGCTTTCTGCCTCCAGGACCTCCACCCTCTCCCAGACTGGTCGTTTGCAGACAGGTGTGGTAAAACTCCTCTGCTCTGAACAGACCTCTGTTTTGAAGGTGTCAGAAGGAACATGCATTTATGTCAAGCCAGTTGAGAGTGTTATTTGGAGGATCAGACCAGAAGAAACATATAAATTCTTGGGTAAGTGGTATTTCCTCATATTTCATTAATATAGGAGGTAATATAGAATCCATTAGGATGAAAACACCCATCCTTAACTCTATGCTTCTTTCTGCTTTGCTTCTTTCCTCTTTCTCCCCTGTCCAACCTCACAAGTGTCTTGACCTCTCAGCATGTGACTACACTGCTACGGAGGGGAGGGTCCCAGAGGGGACCCAAGCACCCAGTTTCCACACTTCTCAGTTCTTAGCTCAGTCCCTAGCTATCTTCTCCAAGACAGGTTTGCTATAAACCTAATCTACCTAAGCTATATGAATACGAGCCAGCCAGTGATACTTGGCCTTGGAGTTTTCTTTTATTTAGAGCTATGTGCATAGCCTGTATGTTGAATTTTTTCAGTAGCAAAATCTTATCAAGGCAACATTGCTAAACTTACTATCTAATGTTACCAGTTGTATGATGTGTCTTACTCAGCAGTAGTGATCATATCCCTGGTAAGTTGGATGCTAGCAAACGTGAGTCTGTCTGGTCTTTCGTAGCAAGGCATGGTCAAACTCAGTCTGCTCTAGAAGGATTTTAGTATCAATGTGTCAGAAGGAAAACACAGTCACATTTAAAAGCTGTGGTATGTCTATAGTGGTTTTTACAGAAAGTATCCATTAAATACTGACTTAAGCACCTTCAGTTCTTACCTTCTTAGTCTGTACAGTGTATTGTCTTTGCTCTTAAACTGTGAGTGCAGGATGATACCATAAAATGTCACCTAAGACCAAGGTTCCTTGGTTCTAATTCCCATCTTTGCCAGTGACTTTATTTCTTGAGTGGCTCTGGGAAAGTTACTCCTGCTCATGACATACTTCCAGGAATGAAAATATGAATTTTGCTCATAGGGTGATGTGAGGGTAAACTGATGCTTATACATTGTGGACATATGGGGAGTACCATACACTTGCTAAGCATATGAGGAGACATACAAATAGGAATAAAAACCTTACAATGCATACCAGACAATGAAATATCACTCTCAAATTGCTGTCTAAATGCAACTTTCCCAGGTTTAGTTCAGTCTTTAGATCCGTATTTTGATTTCTGTAGATGACAGAAAGCTGGGAGAAGTGGTTGATATACCACTGTTCTGCTTCAGAGGGACCTGGACAGGCTGAAGAAATGGGCTGACAAGGACCTCATGAAATTCAGCAAAGGGAAGTGCTGAGTCCTGCACCTGGGGAGCGACAACCCCTGGCACCAGCACAGGCTGAGGACAACCTGCTGGAAAGCAGCTTTGCAGAGAAGGCACTGAGCGTTCTGGTGGACAAGCAGCTGATGATGAGCCACCAGTGTGTCCTTGCAGAAAAGAAGGCCCAAGGCACCCTGGGCTGCACTGAGCAGAAGGTTGCCAGCAGATGGAGGGAGGTGATCCTTCCCCTCTGCTCAGCACCGGTGAAGCCAGACCTGGAGTGCTGGGTCTAGTTCTGGGACTCCCAGTACAAGAGAGACAGAGAGCTACTGGAGAGAGTCCAGCGAGGAAACAAAAAGATGATAAGGGCTCTGACATATGAGAAGAGGCTGAGGAAGCTGGGACTGTCCAGCCTGGAGAGGTGAAAGCTCGGGAAGATCTCATCCACGTGTATAAACACCCTACTGTGGGGAGTAGGGAAGACAGAGCCAGACTCTGCTCAGTGGTGCCCAGTGACCAGACAAGGGGCAGCGGGCAAAAACTGAAATAATGGAAATTCAATTTAAACCCAGAAGACACTTTTTTACCGTGAGGGTATTCAACCACTAGAACAGGTTTTCCAGGGAGGTTGTGGAGTCTCCAACGTTGCAGATACTGACTGGGCAAAACCCTGAGCCACCTGCTGTAGGTGACCCTGCTCTGAGCAAGGGGTGGGACAGGACAATCTCAGGAAATGCCTTCCAGCCTCAACCATCCCAAGATTCTGTGATTTACTTTTTTTTCAAGAAATAGAAATCGACATATTTCTAGTTAGATTAATTTATAGAAAGGGTACAGAAAACAGCATTTCTTTCAGTTATTGCAAAATAGATGTCAGATAACAAATGTCAAATAGCGCAACAGACATTGTAGACATTTCGTAGCCTTCCTTCAATCTTTCAGAAAGCTTTAGAAATTTTATATATACACAGATTTACATTTTTAATCAAATAGGCTAAAGCATCACCAAAATTTTGCCTAGACTTTCTTAAACAGAAAGCTAATCCAGATTTTGTACATGTGCTAGTATAACTATACCTAACTTAATCCTTGTTAAACATTTGTATTCTGCACAAAATCTTCTGCGGCACAAGAAAAAATAATAGACAGCAATAAGAGACATACCTCTTCTTGAAAACCCCGTCTTCCTTTATCTTGTTTGATTTTGGATCACAGTGGCAAGGACACTTGAACCTGTAGTTGTGGTCATGCAAGCATCAGTAAGTGTTTTGCTTTGCCAGTTAAAGTTTTTTACTGCATGCAGCTGTTAAGTGGCAAATGCTGCAAGTCAGAAAGCGACTCAGTTTATCATTTCCCTTACTGCTTCTGAACTTCCTTAAATTTCCTAATTTGCAGATGTTAATGATTTCACACGAACTGATCACGCAACTAACTCTTCCTTCCTCTTACATTGGATGAACTAACCATTAATAGTCACAATATGCAAACTTATTACATAAAAATGCATAAATACTCAGTACTTATAGTACCTGAATATGCTCATAGAAATACCTCTCCTACAAATAAACACATTTTCATAAATAATATGTTCTGGAAACAACAGCAGTGTTGTGTGCCTAGTCCATGTTTAAAGTGCTTATGACATGGCCACTTATTTCTGTCACGACCTGACTGGCTGTATATGTTGTTTACGACCCCTTCACCAGCCTAAGTTCTCCTTTGAGGAAGATCAATCCTTAGCATGCATTTTCAGAAAATTGTCTTGCATATTTGTAGGCAAAAAAGTGGCAAGGAAAATATCAGATCCAAATTTCTGAACTTTCTCACTGCCTGATTTTGGGTTGGTTTTGTTTAGTTCATCTTAGGCTACAATATCATGGGTTAGATGTAAAAGTCTCCGAATTTTCAAATTAAAAGAAAATATCCAAAGCATTTGCTGAATTCAGTAATGTCAAGTTCGCAAAAGACTTTGCAGTCATATAAATATGAGTGTCTAAGCCACAATGTTTGCTTTAACTTCCAGCAACTTTAGATGTGGCTCTGTGTCACGCTGTTAGCCACTTCCCAGTTTGTTTTACAAGATATCTGGTGTGCAGATATGTAATCTTTATGTAATAGATTCTTTTTTATTTCTTGCTGTTCTCAAACACTTGTACGAAGAGTGATTTGAATTACCCCTACCTTCCATTCCCAACACAGGCACAATAGCAGGAGGGTGAAGAATTCCCCAGGCTTCTTAGGAGCAAGTCAGTATCATTAGTAGTTAGTCTGTTAGAGGAAGAACTATTCTTAACCCTGCTTTCCTTGAACCAAAATGTCTCTTTTTTTTTTCTTGGGTATGTAGTCAGATCCACCAATAGCAAATTACTTCACAGACATTTCAAATGTTAAATATCTTTGCTTTTCAGTCCACACTGCTCAGTCTTTCCCACCTTTACCCAGTGAGTCCCATCAGAAGGGTATGTTAATAATATTTTCCATCTTAAAACCTTGAGGTTATGGATGAAAAAACCTATAGATAAGTTAAATGAGTAATACAGAAGGCAGACCGCATGCGAGGTAGTGGCTCAGGTGCCGAATTTGGCCTCTAGAACCACATACCTAGCACTGACTCAGTCCTTGCCAGCTTTTTCAGTACCTTGGGTACAGCACTGGCATGTTTCAAATTTTCCACTCCCTAAAGGATTTAATTTGCTTATTTTATGTAGCTTGAAAAGAACACAGTTAGTACGTGTGCCAGTGTAGTCTGAACTTGCCTATTCATCAGGTATGCTCTACTGGGTACCACCAGCCACCTCAGTGACCACTACCACCTTGCGTAAATTTTCTATAGCACCAACCTCCTGTGCCACACCTATTTGTGAGGCAAAATGTGTGTCAGTATGCCTGATTAATTTTGATGAAGGGATTTGCATCTGTTTGTGGTGGTGTGTTTGGTCAGGTTCTGGGTAACCTGAGGCTGGCCTTACAGTGTCATCTGACCAGTGCCTTCAGACTGCCCAAACAGTGGCTGAATTCATTTTAAATGACCCATTTAAAACTCCAGCCTGGACTAATTCAGCAGGGCTCTGTGTGCACCAAGAGAGGCAGCCACCCTTCCCCTCTTCTTGGGGTCTGGCTGCCTGTGCTCCCTGACTGGCTGCTGTGGTTGGGCCCTGGTCAGGGGGGGCACGGTCCTGCTGGCCCCATGGCTACCATCAGCTCCTGGGCAAGCCCAGGACTCTGACTTTCCTGGGGATCTGCTTCTTTCGGGACATATGAAATCTTTTGTGCTCCCGTTCAAATGGCCCCCACCTTCTCCTGGGAGCAGTCGTCTCAACAGCTTGTGAACTGCCACAGTCTGCAGCCTGGTGTTTATGATAAGATGGCAATGATTTTGGTTTTGTTTAATATACGGTTCTGTGTTTTATTCTAGTTCAGTACCAGCAATGTGAGCGGCTGAGACTCCCCCTAGAGTAGTCAGGAGTGGGCAGAGACCTCTCCAGTTCTCCCAAGGCAGCCCCTTCCAGCACCAGTGCTCTTGGTCCACAGGTGTAGAGTGGTCTGCTGGGATCTCTTGCAAGGTGGTGTTCCATGCTGATGTAGATGTTGCTAGCCAATTTATGAACAGCTTATCATAAATGAAAGACAGAAAATTCACTCTACATGGTCTGAAAAATCTGTTAATAACAATGTCTCGGTTTAGCATTAACATTTTCAGCATTAGGAGGAGGTCTGACAAAAAAAAACAGGCTAACAAAAGCTTCAGAAATGTTATCAACCTTTCATAAGAAAGCAGTAGATGGAACAATTGTGTTCATACCCTTCTAGAAGTTGCCAAATGTTGTATGTACCTGTTTTGTAACAGACTAACAAGGGCTGCTGTAATGCACAGTTCTGGGAAATGCACAGCACAATTTTTCAAAACACTGTTTTTGAAAAAGTTATTTTAAAATAATGTTATATTTTTTACTTTCTCCTCTTCCAGACAATGTAAATTCAAGTGAGTAGTGGATGATTTCAAGGTTCCTTTTGGACTATTCCTTCAACCTGTCTGGGTCCCTCTGCATGGCAGCCCTCTTCCTGAGCAAATCAGAGGGTGACCCCAATTTGGTGTCATCTGCAAACATGATGACAATGCACTCCATCATCTCCTCCAGGTCATTGACAAAAACATTAAACCAGATAGGTCCCAGGATAGACCCCTGTGGTACCCCACTTGTCACACCCTTGGTAAAATCATACTGACTGTTCCCAGTGACCACCTTCTCCTTAATGTGCTCCAAGAGGTCTCACGCCATGAGTTTTCTAGGTTGATAGGCCTACAGTTCTCTGGGTTGAACTTTTGGCCTTTTTTTGAACATGGGTGTAACAACTTTCCTCAATAAGTTGAAGTATGTTATCACTTTCCAGGAAAAAACAGGAAGCAAATGAAGAGTTTGTTTAGAATCTATTTAACGAGACCATAATGCCATCTCCTGAGTGTCTTGATATTGTCTTTATTACACTTTCCTATTCCCTTCCCTACAGAGAGCCAATGAATGGTTCATAGCTCATGGCTAGGTTTTGGTGGATAAGAGCCAAACTATGCTTCACTCTGGCAATTTTGCCCGAGAAAAGATACTGTGAAAGGTTGTATAAACTAGTATAGTCTAGTAAAACCCCATCACTCTCTTAGCAAGTGATTGTGAGCATTTCAACTCTGGCCACTGCTGCATACTGAGAGAAATACAAAGAAGGTTTTCATGTGTGTCCAGCATGAACTCAGCCTCATTAAGAAATTGGCCTTGTTGTTCTGATCTGCTGCAAAAAGATTCCCAGGCGAGTCTTTGACCAAAAGGCAATCATTAACTTTGTCAAAGGCAGTAGGTGTGCCAAGAGCTGTTTGCATCCAGCTACAGGAGAAGCTGGGCAGTATGGGGGATCGCCCCTGGTTGCACTGGTAACTGGAAGGCTCCCCAGCGCTGGAACGTGTCCTGGAACAACTGTTCCCAGCACTGATTTGGCCAGTATTTGCAAGCAATGTCCTGAACAACTCCTGGACATAGTCCAGAGGTTAGCTCAGGTCAGGGCTAATTTCTAAGGGCAGTTTGCATGTGTCCACCTTATTTAAAGATTTAATAAAATATATCTGGGCTCTTACATGGCAATTGGCCTCAGTGCAAGAAAGTAGTGTTGGGAGTATTTATTCTAGTAATCGAATGTCTAGTATCATTATAAAACTAGTTTAATAATCAAATAGCTATGTTCAAATGTCTAGTCTAGAAATCTCAGCCTTTGAGTCTCAAAGTGAAAAACAAATTTATACCAAAGCATAAGCATGATGTGTCGGTGATTCCTCATCCAGTTATGAAAAACATTGTGAGACCCCCCAAAACCTGAATCTCAGAGACCAAAAGGAGCAGCAAGATATATGAGTTATCAAAATTAGTGGGGCTACTCAGAGGATAAAGTTCTTTTTCTTGTGAATGAAAGTGCTCAAAGGCTAATACTGTTAAGGGAGGAAATCACTGAGCATTTTCTGTTTGAGTCTTAAGACCACCTTAGAAGCCATGGTGAGCTTCCAGCATTATATCCTCACATGGGAACAAGTAGATGGTTCACCAACCAACCATCCAAACTGGGGGGTCAGATGATGACTCTTTTGGCATAACTCCAGATCAAGGCTGAGCCTTGCATGGAATTAGGCTTTAACCAAAAAAGGAAGTTTTGTCTGTGCTCTGCTATTACCTGCTCAAATTCTGATTCCTTTGCTGGAATATGCTTCTTTCCCAAAGAAAGGAGCCCAGAAATCAAATTATACCAGTAAAATTGTTACTGTGCTCCTGATCTTTGTCAAGGGTATCAGGAGACACCCCAGGAGATAAGGGTATTTGCCTCTTGTCTTCTGTGCTGACCTCATGGTCTCTACTGACCACTTAGATCTTACAAGGGCTTACATTGTCTGCCCCTTGCTATACTTCATAAAGGATGCAGAAATTATTTTTTTGCCAAGTACCAATAATACTTTCATTCTGTGGAAATATTACCTAATATTCTTTCCTTCTCAAAGCTTTCATGTGTGGAGCCACTATGGCAGTACATGATAAATAAATGGCTATGCCCACTCCAGTATCTTCCCACAAAGTTAAATCAAACATTAAAATGTATTCTTTGGGTCCCATTCATAATACAAACAGATCAAATAGTAGGGTTTTTTTCCTCTTTAAAAAGAAAAATATCTTTGATCCTGGCTTAACAAAGTAAAAGGGTGAGGGAGGCTGCACAAAATGAGAAGGCATTTGTCAAAAAGTTGGAGCCCTTGCCACAGAAGGAAAACAGGAAAGTG